AAAATGACAACAGACCACCGAATCCTGACCCTGACCCTGACGAGGATATTTCTCAAACAGTACATTCCAATGTGGATAATGATGACGTCAATGCCGGTATACCTATCTTGGACGACATTATAAATAACAAACAATACCAAATCATCATTTCAAAAAGTCCACACAATCGACTAGAGGTATCGGAAGATAACTTTGCAAATCATAAAATTTTACAAGTCAAAATGCCAAAATCAAAAGATAATTTAATCTTCGAATTACTGCGAGATTATACCACCGCTTCTAAAGTTTTCATATATATTTTCACGATGATTCAATGTACGACGATTTCTCTAAAATATACAAAGGAAATTTCCATGAATCCGGATTAAAACTAATCAAATGCACAAAATTAGTTAATTCAGTAAAAGAAAACGAAGAACGTCTCATGTTGATCAAACACCAGCATGAAGGCAAGAGTAACCATAGAGGTATCAGCGAAACTGTCGAAAAATTAAAAAAAAATTACTATTGGCCAAATATCAAAGATGACGTCACGAAATATATAAATGATTGCCAAATTTGTCAGACTTCGAAATATTCCCGAAAAAATCCATATGTCCCGTTAGTCTTGACCGAAACAGTAGGAAAGCCATTTCAACTTCTTCATGTTGACATTTTCAAATTCGACAATCAAGATTTCGTCACAATAATTGACGCTTTTTCTAAAGTAGGACAGGCGATACTTATAAAAGGTAAAACTGCAATAGAAGTTTGTGAAGCCCTACTTAACTATTTTTCCTTCTACGGACTCCCCGACAAAATAACAATGGATAACGGTCCCGAATTCAAAAACGAAACCGTCAAGGAATTGTTGAAGACTCATAATGTTGATTTACACTTCACCACGCCCCTCCACCATGAATCAAATTCACCTGTCGAAAGATTCCACTCTACTTTGATAGAGCATTTGCGAATTCTTAGACAAAAACACGATAAGGATGTCATTATAACTCTTATGAAATACGCAATAATAGCCTATAATAATTCACTTCATTCATCGACAAAATTTACACCTCACGAATTAACTTTCGGTCATAGGAACTCTCGGGACCCCTCCGACTTAATAGAAACATCATTTTATGCAGATTACGTAACTAACCATAGAGAAAAAATCCGTCACCTGTACGAAAATATAACGGACAAAATGAGGAATGCCAAACAGAAGGTTATAGATAAAAGAAATTCTGAAGGTCCAGAACAATTTCAGTTCAGGATAGGGCAAACAGTATATAAATCCAATAAAAAACGCAATAAAAAAAAAAATAAATTCAAAGGTCCATTCGAAATCGTACAAATTCTGAAAAATAATAAAGTGAAACTCAAAAACAAATCTAACGATAAAACAGAAACATTGCATATAAAAGAACTCAGGATCCCCGTTGTTACAGATCGATCCCCTTCACCAGAACAGAATTAGGATACTCGAAATTTCATGACCTCAATGGAAACCCTGGTCTGCTGCCACTGAAGTTAGGAAACGCACAAAATGTCATCAGTTATTGGTCATTTATTCAAATCTTCGATACCAGTGATGTCATCAAAGAATTCAGAACACTCGAGAGCAACTTTGTACGACTCAAATCCGCAATAGAAAATTCAACCAGTCATCAACGGGAATTCCATAACTCTTATAATTTGGTAACCATGCTCGAAAAGAAAATTCAGATGCAAATTCATCAAATAAATCCTACTTCGAACACCAGAACAAAAAGGAGCCTATTTGACGGATTAGGTACGATAATCAAAACACTGACAGGGAACCTCGATCATGAAGATGCTGAGAAATACGATGAAGCCATTTCTCAACTGTCTAACAATCAGAATAAAATCAAAAATATCCTTCGAGAACAAATCACAATCCTTCAGTCATCAACAAAAAAATTCAATGAAATTTCAAGAAATATAAGTCACAACCAATTAGTCTTAGAATCCAGGATAATGCAAATAGAGCAATCAATCAGTAAAAAGTCAATTCAAGAAATGGGAGACCGCCACTATTTTTTGGTTCAGATGCTCATATCCCAAATTATGTCGGCCTTTCAAACAATATACGATATATTTGAAAAAATTGAGGTAGCAATTACGTTTTCAAAATTAGATACCCTTCACAATTCAGTAATTGAGCCCAAAGAATTGCTAGATGAAATCAAACCTATCAGTGAACATTTACAGCCTAATCGATTCCCAATCGAACCAACTTTGGAAAATATTCTAGTGATCGAAAAGATAATAAGAATTAAGAGCTACACAAAAGGTAACCAAGTTGTATTCATTATTGAAATCCCAGTAGTAGAAGCCGAAAATTTCACCTACTATCAACTTTATCCCCTACCAACGTCAACAGATAATCAATACAGAATCGTCATTCCTCGGTCCAAATACCTAATCCTTAACGAACACAATTACGTATTTTTCGACACCAGATGCAAAGAAATATCCAATCAAGATTTTTTATGCCATGAAACTAATTCCATAACACTAAGCGACGAAGCTCCTTGCGAAATCCAAATGCTCAGATTCTCCGAGAAGATAACAAACTGCCATCCAGTTGCCATCGAAATGAACGAAATCAAAGTTCAAAATTTGGAAGGCCAAAAATGGATAATAGTCTCTCCCAACGAGGCTGTTGCTGTACAAAGATGTGGACAGAAAAAAGAAAACGTGCCGTTGAAAGGAACTTTCGTGTTAGAACTAAATTCGTACTGTGAAGTGACCCTCAAAAACTATCATTTAAAGAACTATAACAACCCAAAAACTATTTTCGAAAATATAAAATTACCAAGGTTAACAATGGACAGTAGCCCATCAGTTTTATCAAGAACCCGCTTTGTACCTCTCAAATTGGAATCAATCAACCTAGGAGATACAAATAATATACAGAGCGCTCTGGATCTCCAACTTCAAGCTATCAGTGAAATCCAATCAGATAGTACCATCCATTACGATAAAATCAGCATTTGGACCATTATTCTATACGTTGGGATGATAATGCTGATAGTTTACGTTATTTACAAGAATCGTAACTTGTTCAGTAACGTCCGAAAAACTCCCGAAAACATGAGCCCACCATCAAATGACCAGGAACCGAAGGCCAAAGAAAAGAGGAACCCTGTAGTACCAAAACCAAGGATAGTTGTCTGACGTCACAAAACTTCCAGTTTATGCTCGTCTCTACCGCAGGGAGGAGTTATGTCATGTCAAAGCCCTAGAATTGCTGAATCCGATCGACCTCGAGTTAGACGACCCCAGTATTTCCAAGATCCTGCTAACCCGAGATCGCTGACTAAACATTAAGCACTTTGTCGAACATAATTTCTCATGTAATTCAGATTAGATTGAATGTAGACTTTGAAGTAAACGTTTGTCTCTGTATTTCCGAATAAAAATTGTTTTTTAAAAACTCTTTCGTGGTTTGCCAACACTTAACTCGCACACCACAAAGACAAGGACGTAAACGTAATACTATTCCAATTATTTACGACACTGACAACGACGACGACGACGACGACGACAGCAAATATATCAACCCTTACTTACCAACAACGTGACACACTAATTTCAACATCCATTTCAATATTCTTGATTCATACACCACCAAGAATCCTTTTGTCCCCTGTTCCTTCATTTCCCGCCGCAAATGTCTGTCAAGGTAAAATTTCCTTTTTTCTCTTTTTTTTTGATAATCACTATATAAATTTTTTTTTCGCAGGTTGAGTTCATCATTATCTACCGTTTTGGATTATAAGTTATGATTATTGAATTTTAAAAAAATTATAATTACATAGTTTCATTTATTCCTTCTCATTTTATGAATTAAGAAATGATTTAAATGAAATATTATTACACTTCAAGTGGAATTAATTCAATTTTTATATTCACAAGTATTAACTATATTTTCATCAATTATTAAATGAATTTTTCTACAAATTTACAAAAATATATTCATATATTCATTATATGTTTTATATTGTATTTAATTTATTTTATTATATTATTAAATTATGAAAAATAGTTCTGTTTTTATTTATTAAATTATATATTTATCACACAATATCAATTCAATCTATCATCCTACAATACGTGAAAAAACCACTCGGCCGTAGGCCGAGCTGAACCATATTAATTCCAACCGTCGTTCTACAACACATATAAAAACCACGAGGCCGTAGGCCGAGCTACACAATATCAATAATCCAAACCGCCATTCTACAACACGTAAAAAAACCACTCGGCCGTAGGCCGAGCTACTCAATATCAATTCAAACCGCCATTTTACAACACGTGAAAAAACTACTCGGCCGTAGGCCGAGCTACACCATATTAATTGGAACCGTCGTTCAACAACACATAAAAAAACCACTCGGCCGTAGGCCGAGCTACACAATATCAATTCAAACCGCCATCTTTCAACACGTGAAAAAACTACTCGGCCGTAGGCCGAGCTACACCTTATTAATTGGAACCGTCGTTCTACAACACATGAAAAAACTACGAGGCCGTAGGCCGAGCTACACAATATGTATTCAAATCGGCCAAGGCCGAGCTACACCGTATCAATTCATACCGCCATTCTACAGCACGTAAAAAATCCACTCAGCCGTAGGCCGAGCTACACGATGTCAATTCAAACCGCCATTCTACAACACGAAAAAAAAACTACTCGGCCGTAGGCCGAGCTACACCGTATCAATTCGAACCACCGTTTTTATCGTAACCGCCCTTCTTATCGTAACCACCGTTCTATCGTGACCAGACAAGCTATAGTAGACATCAAGATAAGATACAACAATGAAAATAATCAACAAATTAATAAACATATGAAAAACTTTTTTTATATTACACAAATTCACGCACGATAGTGATTTGTACTACAACAATTATGGGCGTGGCTTGTTCACCCGCTAATAGGGAACGTGAGCTGGGTTTAGACCGTCGTGAGACAGTTTAGTTTTATCCTACTGATGACTCGTCGTTGCGATAGTAATCCTGCTCAGTACGAGAGGAACCGCAGGTTCGGATATTTGGTTCACGCACTCGCTCGAGCGGGCGGTGGTGCGAAGCTACCATCCGTGGGATTATGCCTGAACGCCTTTAAGGCCGTATCCTTTCTAGTCAAAGGTGGCAACGATATTTTTTGGAGTTCCGAGAGTCGAAAGGCTCAAAACAATGTGACTTTACTAGGTGGTCGCGGTTCGCCGCGACCGTCGCACTAGCCCTATTTACCGTTGGGATCAACGGTCGGCGGCGGGATCGATCCTTGTCGTGTCCGACCAGATCTCTTGACAGTCGATCATGGGTATTACAAACATTTCGATGTTGGAACTCGGAATTGTCTGTAGACGACTTACGTACCTGGCAGGGTGGACGACGACGACGACGACCCAATCACCCGCGTCGGTGGTGACGACGAACACGATAATCATCCTGGCGATGGTCGTCATCATCGTCGTCGTCGTCGTTGTCGTAGAGGGCCCCAACCCATTATCAATTGGGATGAAATTAAGCATTATCAAAATTATAGATATGTGGGGGCCCTCGAAGAATGCTGGCGTTTGTTCGAATTTAAAATAACAGACAAGTCCCATAGCGTTTCGGTGTTACCGGTACACGCCGAAAATGACCATCAAGTCATTTTCGACGAGTACCGAGACACGGAGAATGAGATAGTGGATAGAGCTACCAAAAACACGAAGTTGATCGCCTATTTTAATCTGAACCGTAACGATCCTGAGGCGAGACTTTTGAGATATGTAGAAATTCCAGAACGTTATTCGTGGAATGGCGCGAAATCGATGTGGCAACGCCGCAAGAAAGCGAGCAAAGTCATCGGTCAACTCGCTAACGCAAGTCCCGATGACCAAACTCGCTTTTATCTGCGGATGTTGCTGCAACACGTGGGGGGGGTGCGACAAGCTTCACGAACTTGCGCACCGTCGACGGTGTCGTTTGTCCTGATTTCATGTCGGCCTGTCACGCCATGGGACTACTCCGAAACCTCGATGAATACAATCGGGCTCTTGAGGAAGCCATATTGGTGCGATGTCCGTTCATGTCCCGTCAACTGTTCGGTCTATTATCTTGCATGATAATGACCGACAGGGACGGGAATAACGACGGCATCGCAACAATGTGGCGGAATCATAGAACCTATTTAATTTCTGATTTTATGGACCATGGCGTTGACGAGTCGGAAGTTGCCGAACGGATGGCACTGTACCACGTGTCCACTGTCATCGGTAGATGCGCCCTCGGCGGCGACCGATTCACTATGGCCGATTTAGGATTGCCAGTCGTTAACGCCGACGACTTTTTTAGGAATGAATGGAGGGTTTTTAAGAATTTGTTAGTAACGCAAGATGCCGTCGACCGCGACGCGAGGGGTGGGCTTATTCTGGGGGACGATTTATTGATTGATAACTTGAAATTCTTGAATCAGGGTCAAAAATTAATATTTGATACCATTTTTGAAACATTGCAAACACTTTCGGCCTGGGGATACGGAACGACGACGGTAGCCGCCAATAGGCCGCCGTTTCCGTATCCCTATCAAAATTTATTTTTCATAGACGGTCCTGGCGGTACTGGGAGGACTTTTCTCTACAATTGTATAATTGGTAAAATACGCCGAGACTTTGGGAAACCAATTATAGCGGTAGCTTGGACCGGAATTGCGGCTACCCTTTTATCCAAGGGTACCACCGTACATTCTGCGTTCAAGTTGCCACTAAAATTGAATGAAGATTCTATTCCGGGGTGGCCGGTAGAAAGCGACAAAGCTCGCATCAACCGAGAGGCTCCCGTCATTTTGTAGGACGAGGCTCCGATGACGCCTAGATTGGCCGTCGAGGCGGTAGGTCGGTACCTACAAGACCTGATGAATGCCCCCGGTATACCCATGGGGGGTAAAATAGTCGATTTTGGCGGCGACTTACGTCAATTATTGCCCGTCATCCCCCGTGAGCATAGCGGGGAAATTCTGAGAGCATCGTTAAAATCTTCATACATGTGGCCTATGGTACGGATCTACCGACTCACAGAGAATCTACGCGTAAAAGCGGCGGCAGCGGAGTTGGCTCTACGAAATGACGGAGGCAACGGCAGCGGTGCCGCCGCCAGTCGATTGGAGGATATGGCGAGCTTTGCCGCTTTCTTACTGAATGTCGGCAACGACGAGCTACCCCACGTCAAGATGCCGCTCGCGTTCTCTCCTACTGACCTCGTCGAAATTCCATCACGACATATGGTCGCTGACATCAAGAACCTTGTCGATCAAGTATATGGTTGCGGACCATTAGATCCGGCAGAAGCAACTCATTCACTTGCCGACAACGCCATCTTGTGTCCAACAAACAAGGCAGTGGATAACGTAAATGCGACAGTCTTGAACAGATTGACGACCCAAAGTCGAAGTTATTTTAGCACTGACAAATTTGTAAAGCTGACAGAGGAAAACCAGGACGATTTTCATGTACCGGACGAATACTTACACGGTCTCAACGTCGCTGGTCTTCCGCCACACGAATTGTCGCTCAAGAAGGGATGCGTAGTCATGCTTCTTCGTAATATCGACATAACTAACGGATTGTGCAACGGCACACGACTACGCATCACCTCCTTGGGCGATAATTTGGTGAGAGCGCAAATTCTGAGAGGCGGCGTCGAAGCGAGTAGGGGAAATGATATATTTCTCCCACGCATGAATTTGACCGCCGCTGAGAACGTTACGTTCTTACCGGGAACGGTGCATCGCAATCAATTCCCAATACGTGTGGCGTTTGCAATGACGATAAACAAGGCGCAAGGACAAACATTCAAGAAGGTGGGAATTTGCCTGGAAATGCCTTGCTTCGCTCATGGACAACTATACGTGGCACTCAGCCGCGTAGGTTGTCCTGACAGAGTGAAGGTATTCATGAAGAATTCCGCCAAACAAGGATCTTTCAAATACAGGAAGCGTTATTTTACGAGAAACATTGTCTATCCGTCGATGATATCTCATCAAGATGATATACATGTTAATAATAATATCGATGTCGTTGGCACGGATAATATTTTATCCGTGCCAACTCCGGCACCATTTTGTATAGATTTACTTCCACCACCACCACTACCACCACCACCATCAGTGGTGCCATCAAACGAAAATGACGATATTTGTCTTCGCCCTGTTAAACGACGTGATTATCGACAGGTTATTTTAGGAAATCAGGGCGAAGACAATATCGTCAATAAAAAACGAAAAATTGATGACGACAACAATCTTGACGACGGGTTCGAGAATTTCGAGAATGATCTTCCTCGCCATATCAATGAAGAACTCAATCGCTTCATTGATATGATCGAGAAAGATAATGCTCCAAACATTTCTCGAAAACGTCGTCAAAGTTGTATCGTCATTAATTCTCCATCATCATCATCATCTAGACGAGGTGTTATCGACGAAGAGACGTTGAAAGATTTGGATGATGATGTAAATTACGATCAGGACGCGAGATTAGTGTTCATCAAACCGCTGCCTCCGACAGCATTTCCTGCGATATCAGAATTACCTAAAAGACGTGCTAGTCACGAACGACCAGATACTTCTGGTATCGCCGGAAGGACTGCCCGAATCGGCAACGAAACGACTTTACATGCACGCACACCACAAAGACAAGGACGTAAACGTAATACTATTCCAATTATTTACGACACTGACAACGACGACGACGACGACGACGATGACGACAGCAAATATATCAACCCTTACTTACCAACAACGTGACACACTAATTTCAACATCCATTTCAATATTCTTGATTCATACACCACCAAGAATCCTTTTATCCTCTGTTCCTTCATTTCCCGCCGCAAATGTCTGTCAAGGTAAAATTTCCTTTTTTCTCTTTTTTTTGATAATCACTATATACATTTTTTTTTTCGCAGGTTGAGTTCATCATTATCTACCGTTTTGGATTATAAGTTATGATTATTGAATTTTGAAAAAATTATAATTACATAGTTTCATTTATTCCTTCTCATTTTATGAATTAAGAAATAATGAAATATTATTACACTTCAAGTGGAATTAATTCAATTTTTATATTCACAAGTATTAACTATATTTTTATCAATTATTAAATGAATTTTTCTACGAATTTACAAAAATATATTCATATATTCATTATATCTATATATAAGATCTATCAAAACTGTAAGTAAAGGATCGAAAACATCAAGCAAAACGAGAAATAAACTCATCGAGTTAGAAAAACTAGAATTGAAAAAACAGTATGAGTACGAAATGAAACTTATCGAGCTAGAAAAACGCCATATTGAAGAAACAAGCAGTGAAGATGAGATAGAAACAAGAAGCAGACAAACGAAGACAGAATCTTTGCCAGACAAAGTTGAAAATTGGTTGGAAAATATCCATCCACAACCACAAAAAACAGAGAATGCAGTATGTAAAGAGAAAGAACCTATAGCGTTGAATAATTACCTAATGAGACAATCTGGTGCAAAAGATCTTCCAATATTCAGTGGCGATTCGATAGATTGGCCAAGTTTTATAAACCAATTTAAAGAAACTACTGAGCTATGTAAATACTCCAAGAGAGAAAATGTTACCAGACTTCAAAGGTGTTTACGAGGAAAAGCCAGAGAGAGTGTGGAATATTTACTGAATTTTCCTGACCAATTGGATAAAATTTTGTCAATCCTAGAACGAAGGTTCGGAAGATCAGAATACATAATTGAGGAAATCATTCACAAAATCAGTCGCATATCATATATCAAAGAATATCAATTCGAATCAATAATTGACCTTGCGAATAAAATATTGAATTTAGTAGCAACTATAGAAAGCTTAGGACATGAAGGACAATTGTACAATACTCAGGTACTGACAGACTTGGTGAACAAACTGCCATCAAGTTTGAAATTCCAATGGGGAGCCTATCAAAATGAACATGAAGGAAGCCGGAATTTGAAAGCATTTTCACAATGGATAGAAACAGTCGCTGAAAATTTGTGTTTTGTGTCTAGACCAAAAATTAACGACGATAGACGAAAACGTTTCTCGAAAAATACTGACATGAATTTTTCAACTACTTCAAAAAACAATCTGAACTGTTTATTTTGTGCGGATAAAAGTACTACTCACTCTATATACAGATGCAAGGATTTTAAAGAATTAACACTAGATGAACGTTGGAATTGGGTGAAATCCAGGCGTATTTGTTTCTCTTGCCTAAGAGAAAACCACCAAATTCAACATTGCCGCTTCAAGAAGACTTGTGGGGTGAGAGACTGTCGAAAGTATCACAACTCACTGTTACATGAGGATAGTTCTAAAGAAAGAACCTCGAGCAGTTCAAATAACCCAGAAATGTCAAACTCTAGGACAGAAACTTCACGAGACGTCCAGATTGAGAAAAATTTCAAGATATCTGACACTTATGACAGGAATATTTTATTACGGATAATACCTGTGGTATTAACAGGATATACAGGGGAAACAATACAAACCTATGCTCTTTTCGATGAAGCTTCGACAGTGACAATGCTTGATGAAGATATCGCAATCAAGTTGGGTCTTGATGGAGAAATAAATCCATTATATCTTCAATGGACTAATGGTGTATCTAATCACGTCGAGAATTCGAAATCAGTGATTGTGAAAATATCAGGAATTGCACAAGGGAGCAAAACATTCACTCTGTATCAAGTCAGGACAGTCAAAAATTTATCATTACCAATTCAAGACTTGAATATTGAAGAATTATCACGAAGATGGCCATATATTCGAAATGTTCCGTTGAATTCGATGGAAAATGCTCAACCTACTATACTTATCGGCCAAGATAACTGGCCCCTAACAATACCACGTTGCTATATTCAGAAGCATTTGAATGATCCAGTCTTAACAAAAACATGGTTAGGATGGGTGATTCACGGACATATCAAATCAACAAAGCCTAAGAACGAGTACAATTATTTGATAGCCCAAGAGAAAGAAGAATGTGACGACGAACTCTTTAATCTGGTGAAGAATTCTTTCAAAATTGAGGAAATGAACACAATACATGACGAGAAATCAATAGAAAATAAATATGCCGAGGAACTTTTAGAAAAAAATACACACAGAATTAGTGATTGCAAATGGGAAACGGGTCTACTTTGGAAGAACGAAAGTGTAGTTTTACCAGAAAGTAAAAGAAATGCCTTAAGGAGACTAAAACAAGTCGAAACAAGAATGAGAGGTGATGCTGCATTCGCTCAAGCATATACAATGAAAATACAAGATTATCTGAACAAAGGATATGCATATAAAATAAAAGATGATGAAATATTTGTGAAAAGTGACAAAATCTGGTACCTTCCACATTTTTCAGTAGTAAATCCGAATAAACCAAACAAAATCAGAGTAGTCTTTGATGCTGCAGCCAAAGCCAATGGAGTTAGCCTTAACGATATGCTATTGATAGGACCTGATTTATATAACTCCCTCATCAGTGTTATTTGGAGATTCAGAGAAAAAGAAATAGCCTTTTGTGCCGACATCAAGGAGATGTTCTTACGAATAAAAATTAAAGACGATGATTTGCCATCCCAGAGATTTCTTTGGAGAGAAAATGAAAAAGAAGAACCCTCAGTATATGCAATGTCCGTTCTGCTGTTTGGTACAGTGTGTTCCCCCAGTTTAGCCCAAGCAGTCAGAAACAAAAACGCTGAAGAATTCAAAGAAATTTATCCGGAAGCATCGAAAGCAGTTTCAAGAAACCATTATATGGATGACTATTTGGACAGCTGCAGTAATGAAGAAGAGGC